TAGAGAAAAATGGGTTCAGAAACCTGCCAACACTGAGGAAGAACCTGCAGTGAACCAACTAGAAGCCCCAAGAAAATTCACAAAACAAGAAAACGGAAAGGCCAAAGTTGGACATGTAGCTAATACAAATACATCACAAGCCATTATTCTACATCACTCAGCAATACAATCTACATCTAAGGATGTAACCAATCATTACATAGAGGTAAACAATGATAATGAAGTTGATGAGGAAATCATAATGGAAGAACCACTTGCAACAACAAACCAAATTCAAAGTCAAGAAGCTGAGGTACATGACTATGATATGGTTAAAGATGATCTCAATTTGCAAGAGCTATATAAGTTGCTAGATTTTGATCAAGATCTAGTCAACAAAGGTTACAACTCTGATGGTGAGAATAGAAAAAAGAACTTCATTCAATATCTCAAATACAACTGGGATGACACCAAATATAAAGCAGAGTTACTAATCGGGCAAAAGCAAGCAGTAGAAAATTCAGAAACTACCTGTTTCCCCTCCTTCGATTGCCCAGAGGAGACTGCTAATCTAGGTGTGGAGGCCAACATAAATCAACCAGAGGGTGAGAGATAGTCCACCATGGATGACTCTAATATTCTAAATACCTTTCAGCCTGAAGGGGAAGGTCAGGATTGCCAGCTTCCAGAGGACAAGGCTGATGAATTTATTGAAGTAGGAAGGAGAAATAAAAAGAAGAAGAATCAGGAGGTTGAAGCTCCATCAAGAAGAATTACAAGAAGTGCAGCTAAGGAGGTCAGTCCTATATCCTCCAAATGAACTGATTAATTTGAAATTCTAGGGGTCTAGAGTCCTCCAGCTCTAGACTTCATTCCCTAGTTATTCAATGGAGGCTTGGTTGTTGTTATTGAACCCTTGGTTCAAGGGCAAAGGGCAGATCACTTTAAAAACATATTGGGGTTTTCAGATGTTTTAACTTCTCCTATAAGCAAAACCTGGGTATTCTGGAATAGATCTTTTTTGGATATCACTCAGACTACCTGACATCCTCAATTCATCCATTTTAGAGTTCACAACCAATTGTTTGAGGGCTGGGTTATAGCAGTCTATGGAAGTCACACATATATTGCGAGGAGGGAGCTTTGGAAAGGTCTGATTGATATTTCCTCTAATATGAGGCAACCTTGGGTTGTGGGAGGTGATTTTAATGCTATTGCATCCTATAGTGAACATAAAGGGAATTCAACTCCTATCATTAGGGGAATAAATGATTTTTCTGAATGCATGGCTTCTTTGTAGCTTGATTGACTTACCTCATAATGGGCCAAAATACACTTGGGCTGGTGTTAGAGCCAATGGTTGGGTCTGGCGAAGATTGGATAGGTGTCTTTTAAACTCTTTTTTCTTGGATGTTTTTGAAAAAATCCAGATTTCTATTCTGAATAAGTCACCCTCAGATCACAATCCTATGTTACTCCAATTTGATAAAATGTCCTATTAGGGACCTAAACCCTTTAGGTTTCAGAACATGTGGGCAGCACACTCTGGTTTTTTGGACTTTGTATCTCAAAAATGGCAATCTTACTCAACAGGGGGAGGAATGAGAGGCCTTATTTACAAGCTTAAAAGTCTGAAGAGGGATCTGAAGGACTGGAATAAATGTGTTTTGGGAAACATTTTTTCAGACATTAAATCTTGTGAAAGAGATGTGCTTTTGGCAGAAAAACAGTTTGAAGATCAACCATGTGAAGGAACTAGAGAAGAGCTTGCACATAAGAAGGGTTTGCTTTTGCATAAATATAACCTGGAGAAGAAATATTGGAAGCAAAAAGCAAAAATTAAGTGGATCAGGGAGGGAGATTCAAACACCAATTTCTTTCACTCATATGTGAAAATTAGAAACAAAATCCAGTCCATTACCTCAATCCAAAACTCCCAGGGGTATAACTTGACAGATCAGAAGGACATTGGGGAAGCTGCTGTAGACTACTTCTCAGATCTATACTCTAGTAGCCCAGTTCATGACCCTAGAGACATCCTGCAAAATATCCCTGACATCATCAACAATGTAGAAAACAACATGTTAATTGCATTGCCTACTTTGGAAGAAGTAAAAGAGGCCATATGGGGCTTAAATCAGAATAGTGCAGCTGGACCTGATGGATATAATGACAATTTTTTTAGAAAATATTGGCAGGTGGTTAAAAATGATGTCCTTATGGCTACTCAAGAGTTTTTATGGGACATTCTATTCCTAATAGGGCTGCACAAGAATAACCCGAACCCGCATAACCCGCCCGACCTAACCTTACCCGACCCTATTTAATCGGGTATTTAATTTTAAAAAGTATTCATGGGTTAAATATGTACGAACCCGCACCTAATGGGTAGGGTTGTGGAATTGAAATCTCAAACCCGATCGTAGCCGACCCGACTAATATTATTCATTTTGCTATTATTGTGCTACAATTTTTTCTTGAACAACTTCAATCTACAACAAATGTGCTCTATCTAGGACTTTATGATATTAGAATTATAATTAAACATTTACTCTGTATCATTTTAACTAGGTGATTATTATATATTTACAAAATGATCTTCCTTTACGAAAGGATGTTTTAATACTATTACCCAATGTTTTTTTAAAAGATACTTGTATTTGTTTGTGTGTTTTGGAAACAAGTTGATCGAGTTTCAAATTGGTTACATTAGTTTCCCACATTAAAGATGCAACCCAGTGTGATTTTTTTTCAAAAACCCGAGCCTACCCGACCCGTTCGTGTATGGTTTAACAACTTATATTGCATATCACGGGTTGGTTTATAGCCAACCCGAACAAATTGGGTAGGCCCAAAAAATATAGCAAACCTGACCCAACCCGCCCGATGTGCAGCCCTAATTCCTAAGGGAAAGACTAGTTCTCTGATCATTCTCATACCAAAGAAAGACATGCCTAATTCTTTTGCTGATTATAGACCTATCTGTCTATCCAATTTTATTAGCAAAATCTGCACCAAGATTCTGGCTAACAGATTGCTCATTATTATGCCTAAGATAATATCTAAAGAGCAAGCAGGGTTTATGCAAAAAAGAGACATCTCAGATCAAATTCTCATAGCCCAGGAGATGGTGCACAGTATTGAAAAAAGGTTAGAGGTTCAAATATGATTATTAAGCTTGATATGGCTAAAGCATTTGATATGGTCTCTTGAGAGTTTCTTAATGATATTATGTTGAAGTTTGGTTTTTGTAATCATTTTGTAACTCTGGTTATAAACAACCTCAGAGCCACTTACTTCTCTGTTCTGGTTAATGGCTCACCCCATGGTTTCTTGAAACCACACAAAGGGGTTAAGCAAGGGGATCCTCTTTCCCCTTTCTTGTTTATTATTGCCTCGGAAGTTTTTTCAAGGGGACTCAAAAGTCTTTTTCAGTCTGGTAAAATTAAATCTTATTGGATGGGTAATCAAGGTTTTCCTATCACCCATCTAGGATTTGCAGATGATTTTCTTATTTTCCTCAATGGGGAATCCAGATCTTTATTAGCTTTTAAAATATTTCTTGAGGATTATCAAGGGGTCTCAGGGCAGATCATCAATTATGGAAAAAGCTCAGTTGTTTGTGGTAAGATGTTACCAGGAAGGCAGAATATAATTGAAAACCTCTTGGGAATGAATCCTGCTTCTCTCCCCATAAAATACCTTGGGGTCCAGCTGCACAAAGGAATTAATAGATTAAGCTACTGTGGACATATTACCGCCAACAAAAGGTTACCCCAAGTTCATCGCTAAAGATGCTGCACGCTTATTCTTCAAGCATGTGGTAAAGTATTGGGGTATACCGAAGACCATCGTAAGCGACCGAGATACCCGTTTTACCGGGAAGTTCTGGATGGAGCTGTTCAAGATAATGGGGTGCAAGCTTAACTTCTCTACGAGCTTTCACCCCTAAACCGACGGTCAAACCGAAAGGGTTAATGCCTTGTTGGAGTTGTACTTGAGGCATTACATGAGTGCGAACCAACGAGATTGGGCAAAGTTGCTCGACATAGCCCAATTCTCATACAATTTGCAATGGAGTGAGTCGACGGGGGCAAGTCCGTTCGAGATTGCCACGGGGCAGCAGCCGGCTACTTCGCACTCTTTGGCCGTGGGATACCGAGGTCCGAGTCCATCCGCGTTCAAGTTTGCCAAGGGATGGCATGAGAAGGCCGACATGGCGAGGGCATACTTAGCTAAGGCTTCGAAGAAGATGAAGAAGTGGGTCGATGCTAAGAGGAGAGACTTGGAGTTTGAGGAAGGAGACTTGGTGCTACTGAAGCTCCTTTCCCACCAGAAGCATACGTTTGCCAAGTTGCACAAGGGGTTGGTACGACGATATGAGGGTCCGTTTCCCATTGAGAAACGAGTTGGTAAACTTGCTTATCGCTTGACCTTACCCTCACACTTGGAGATTTATCCGGTGTTTCACGTGAGCTTGCTTAAGCCCTACAAGGAAGACAAGGAGGATCCGAGTAGGGGCATTTTGAGGAGAGCACCGACAACTATAACGAAGGTTCCCGAGCGCGAGGTTGAAGAGATATTGGCTCATAGAGTCATACCGAGGAGAGGCGCACATCCGAGCTACGTGGAGTACTTCATCAAGTGGAAGGATGCTCCGGACAACGAGGCAAGTTGGGAACACAAGTTAACCTTGTGGAACTACAAGGATTTTATAGAGGCTTACAAGGCGACCACGAAGAGGACGTCGTGAGATTGAGTGGGGGAGAATGTCACGACTCTCTTGAATGCCACATCATACAGTGTAATACGCCGCAGCATGACACATAAGTAGGCCACGCCATAATCCAGGCGAGTACCAGCTGGAGTCTAGAAATGCCTAATAGAGAGGCGCAGAATCCTGGAAGCTAAAAGAATATTCTAGACTCATGTAGATAAGTGTACACTTATATAGAATAGAGTAGAATACTCTAGAATATCATAGAATCGTATAGAATACTCTAGAATTAAATTGTAGTATGATCAGAAGGTAAGTCCGTGACATAGCCTAATGGGAAGATAACGACCCTCTTCATGTACTGCGTTAGGTACTCTAGAGCTAGATGGCCACACCCCTGAGCTGCGGAACGATGGATAGAATCTCTGGTCGACTATCTCAGCTCGATAACCTTTACTTTCCAATCGCTGCCAAGTCGTCGGCCGCCACGCCATCCTGTCGGAAGTCCCTCCTGCTTGACCTTCTTTCTCGCGACGTCCCTATTTTCTTAGGTACACCGGTTAACTCTTTCCGTCACTCACAGCCCTCGTATCCGGATCATACATTCATTCTTATACTTCGATACGAAGGTTTAAACCCGGGATAATTGCATTTTGGTAGAAGATCATTTATTTATTTTGTGTGTCTGTGTATGTAAATGTCTGTTTTGATCTAAATAGTAATCGTATGAAATTGTGGAAAAAGTAGTAATGACCTTATTGAGTTGATGAATTCATGAATTCCAGGTATTTCATTACATTTCCCTGTGTCCCCAACTAAGAGTTGTATTCATTCCATTAAAATCTAGGTGTAGTTAATTTTCGGAGGATTTTTATGGACTCCCTTAAATGGTGGATTTCGGTGGATTTTTATGGAGTATACGTGTATTCTTATCAAAATCCGACCACTTATTTTCAGATTCATATTGATTTCATAGAATTCAATTAGAATATGATAGAATCGATGTATTTCTATTAAACTCTATAGACTATCAATCCTAAAAAATCTTTCAAATTCTATATTTGGGACACCCTCTAATTCTGTCATCATCATACATAAATCTTATCTGTATCTTTTTTGTTATCTTGACGTGTTTAATTTTGTTGATTCTATTTCATCTCAGAGCGCTACGGATCACTTTTGACAAAGGACGAACTTGGAGAGTTTGATGTATTAAAGGATGATTATGAAGTTAATTGGCACCTACATCATCTTCTTAGCCTTATCAGCCCGACTGAATCAGAATTGAAGTCCAGATCAGTTAAGGTCAAGAACCGGAGGAGGGCATATATGGACAAGTTGGTTAGTGGAGGACAGTACTTCTCGGAGGATGCAATGAGGGAAAGGGAGCCGTATTTGCACCATGAATATATCGGGAAGTTTCAGGATCCGATTGGGAGGAGCATGGCGAGGCCTGGGGAGCGATGGTCGGAGACACTGATGAGGCTATCAGAAGAGTCAATGTTGGTGGAGAAAATCAGGAATGAGCAGAAGAAGCGAGGTGTGGCTCAAAGTGATTGGATAGGGTTTGGAAGGGATGCACTTGAAGAAGAGGAATATGGAGGAAATGAAGAAGAAGAAGAAGAAGAAGAAGAAGAAAAAGAAGAGGAGGAGGAGGAGGAATTTGAAGAAGAGAAAGTGGAAAAGGGTGAAAATAACACTACGACAGATGGGCAAGAGGTAATGTAATAGCTGCATTTTCAGATCTATTAGACTAACCCTACTATTGGAGATGTTGCCATTTGCTTTTCTTGGGAGCACATTGATAGCTTTATAGTGTCCTACTTGAAGCATATAATAAACTTGTGTATATTCTTCAATTTTATGTGTCAAACCCCTTTGTGATATATAAAATGCATCGAACACACCTGGAATTTTAAAATGCATCAAACACACCTGGATTTTAATTATTAATCATGCGTATAACCTCTTGAAGAATAAATGTAATTGCCAGAATAAAAAAAAGTGATTAGTGTTCTTGTATAATTAGAGATCTTGACAAATTTACTTATATTTTCAAGGGATAATGGTCAAATTGGACATTATGGTTATATGCGAATCTCATATTGGACACTAAGGTTTTAAATGGACCAATTTGGACACTATGGTTACATTTGTATCTCATATTGGACACCTAAGTTTCAAATGGATCAAATTTAACGTTTTTCTGATCATTTTTGAACACCCTCCAAAGATTATTCACATTGGTGTATTTAGATTTAGATTATATAATTAGATTAGATGTTCCAATTAAGAAAATCTATTATAATGTAATTGAATTCTTTAATATGGTTACATCAATTTAATAAATCGATATTTCCCAAAGTTCCATAAAAATCATTTGATGAAAAGTCCTAAATATATTTTAACTTGTTAAATATAAGAAGTTATTAATTAAAATTGAATTATATATTCTAAAACCTCAAATTAAATATTCAAAAATTATATAAATCAATTAAGTTAGTTTATTGACACCAAAAAGGAAAGGAAAAATAAAACTAACGATTTTTATGAACGGAAGAAGAAAATCATAAGTGAGTGTCCAAAAACTACGAATTTTGAAACCTTAGTGGCCACTATGAGATTCACAATTAACTATAGTGTCCGATTTAGTCCATGTAACCATAGTATTCAATTTGACCCTTATCCCCATCTTCAATCATAACATTAAGAAATGCGATATCAAATTGCTAAATTTGTTACTTTAGGGTGTTTTGTGCATAATTAATGATAACACATGTGAGTCTAAAGCATTTTTTAAATCACATGAGACTAATGATCTAATGTTCTTATCATATTAGATCTTTTGCTAGTTCTACATCGATGTTGAACATGCATTTTGGGCTTTTAAACCTAACAAAACCCTTTAGTGATCAAGAAAGAAGCACATGCTCTTTGTTCTAGATTTTAAGCTAGCCTTTTTCATGCGTGCCCTTAATGGTTTAATTGAATCAATGAAAGTTCACAATTAAAGAAGAATGTAATTATTTTTATATACGCATATTTATGGTGATCTCTTTTTAAATATGGATATTCTATTTTCTATGTTCTTGTAGTATTCATCTATGTTTGCATAGTGGGTTGCGAAAGTTGCATTTTTAGTTCCCAAATGTTTGATATTATCTATATGGGGGCATATTTTTGTGATTTTGTAAAACTTAGAGACCGTTTAGTAACCCCTTCTTTCGGCTTATAAGCTTTATTAACCAACCTTTTTACCCAATACCTAACTTTCGATTTCGTGCACTGAATTGTGTAATAATCAAAATAGGTAAGGATGTAGTTACTTGTTTTACGGAATTGGTTGAATTTGCTGAAGGGGGCTATTGTAACTATTTTTTCATATAATATTTTGTTTATTTTCAACATTTTTTCTTCTTCATAATTTAGAAGATTCAGCTGTTTTTTGCAGAATTTCACCAATTTGAGCATCAGATTCCGTCAATTTGAGTGTCATAAAAAATGCTCTTAAGTTTTTCTTAATAGCTTAAATTGAGGTAGACTATTTGTAGATTTAGACCTTCTCTAATCTCTACCCTTAAAGCCACTATTTACATTGTCAGGGTTTATGGGGAGCGATCTGGTCATTCAATGTTATCAAGAATGCCATTGTAAACCCTATTACCAAACGATGAGGTTTATGGCGTGTACTAATTCTATTTTGTATATAGCAATTGAGACACTAGTCACACTACTACATTTAGAAATTGTAAAGGTCTAGGATTTGGTTATGGTAAACAAACAAGGGACTAAATGTGAGACTTTCTTACTTGGTAATTTGATGGTCGGATATTTTTCCCATTCTTTTTGCTCATATCAGAAGTTGGAGGCATTTTTACCCCGATACTGATATCTTCTTATAACTCCCCAGATACACACAAACACAAATGATAGGAGTAGCAACCTCCTCTTGCCTGCACCCATGAAAGCGGTTGAGGTGGAGAGCGTGTCATCTGAGGATATGCAAGATCGAATGGACCAGTTTACATACATCATGCAACACAAATTTTTGTTAGGGGAAGATAGCTTTGATTACTCAAAAATTGATGAGGATGAAAGCTTGGATGATCATTGGATAAAGGAGGCCAATTATGATGCTGAAGAAAAGTACTTCGATGATGACTGAAAGGTCGGTTTGTTCCGACTTCAAATTCAGTTTCGTTGTATTTTATGAAGATGCCAACTGTGAGCATGCGTTCCGCTCCCAATCTGTGCTGCTGTTTGCTTTTCTTAGGACATGGTCTTTTATATATTGTAAATGAAATAGTTGGAATTCTCGTGTGCTTCTTCGAATCAATCCTTTTTTCAAGGATGGAACACCCCCTGCTCCCCACACTCTCTTACCTTCAAAGAATCAAGTAGTACTGATTGATTGCAAGACACACCATGGGCGAATAGACCCAAATCACCCAATCACTTTCGAATTCTGTTTTGTTCATCCCGTCCCCATTAGGAGGGTGAACTTGAGCCTTTTTGGGTAGCGACTGCATGTACACATGATTGTTCGATAAATTTCATATGTATAGAAGAAATCTAACTGTTATTCAGATATAGGTTTTTGTGTGTGTACAATATATATCAAATTAAAAGTTTTTATGATATTTTAAGTTTTAAACATCAATATTTCATATGTATAGTGACGATAAATATTACTCCATATATTAAATAAAAACAATCACAAATTATTAAAACACTCTTGATAATAATTTACACTTTTAAAAGCAAATATTCCGTACACATATTGCATTCTCACTCCCTATTTCAATACACCGTATGAGTTAAATTATGATTGTAACATTGGTCGGTTAAAATTTAAGAAAATATCTTAAATTAGACTAAAACAAAGATAAAATGCATAAATAGGACTACCAATGTTTTATATTCAAAATAGGGCTCATTCACTCCTATTTTGAGAAGTTTAATCAGCTTGTTTTGGGGAATAAAACATACTCTATTTTATTTTTGAACATTGTGTATATTTTAGTCCTACATTGTGCAATTTCTATAAAAATTATTGAAATGTTATCAATAAGAAAGAATAAGGTGGTCATCTTCAATAGCTAAGTGAAAGAAATACCTATGTTCTTTAATTATCTATAATTCATGATGTATGGCTATATTGCACGATTTCTATTAGAATTATCAAAAAGTTATCAATAAGAAATACTAAAGTTATCATCTTCATTAGCTCATAAAAAATCATTTTCAATAGCTCAAGTGAAAGAAATACATATGTCATATAATTATCTATAACTCATGGTGTATGACTATCTCCTAATCGGACAGTTTGACGTGGAGTTCTGCCCAAGTCCTACTATCGAGGGACATGCGTTGGTAGATTTCATCGCGGAATGTACCGCTCGAACTGAGGAAGGCACCTAGGCAGCATAGACTTTGATAATTGTGGGAAATATACTCGGATGGTGCATGATGCATCTAGCGCTCGGGGGGAGTGGCAGTGATTCCATCATTGCTTCGCCCGAAGGGTTCAAGTCGTATTACTCCATACTCTTTGAAGTCAAGGTGATGAATAACGAGGTGAAATATGAGGCACAAATTGCAAGGTTGAAGTATCATCACGCTTTGGGGGCAACACGCCTGAAGTTCGATCGGATAGCAAGCTGGTCCCCTACCAAGTGAATGGCATGATTGAGACAAGAGAAGAGAGAATGAAGGCCTATTGGGAGCTGGCTGAGGAACAAACCACTAGGTTCGAGCTGGTCGTTTTAGAACAGGTGTCCCGTGTGGAAATATTGAGGCCGACATCTTATCAAAAGATAGGAAACACAAGGCTAAACGATCCCTCACAGGCGATTCCAGAGTATACCATCTGAATCGCCCGGATGGAAACCCTAATCACACTGACCACAGAGCTCTTATCAATATGGGCCATCTCCTTTGCCGAGCCAAATTAGGTGAGCGAGATAACTGCATACCTCGAGGACGGACAACTCCCTGTGTGCAACGATATCTCTAGCAAGCCACAAATGGTAAAGAGAAGGTCCCCACACTTCGAACTCTATAAGAAGTAGTTCGGAGAACCATGCATGAAGTGCCTCCAGCCCTGTCTTGTCGCAACGGTGCATGGAAGAAATCCATAAGGGCATCTGTTCGAGCCATCAAGGGCCATCATTCTACAGGGGTACTACGAGCTGACCCTTCAACGAGATTGCTTTCATCACACATGGAAATGTGTTGTTTTCTAGCACCAGCCCACGTCCCAGGATGACCAACCACTTTCCACAATCCCATGACTATCTCCATATCGTTCGCACGGTGGAGGATTGACCTACTGGGACCCTCCCAATGGTGTCTGAAGGAAGGAAGTACACTGTAACACCGTCCCCAAACATATTTTACTTTTCAGTAAATCATTTAATAAACCTTGAAGAATGAGTTATGAATTTGTGAAGTTGTAAATTTTTTTTATTTCTTTTGCGTGAATAATGAATTGCACATGGGACCCACACCAGGAACGGGGACCACCCGATAATTCCAGAACCACATATTATATTCGTCTTGGTCTAAATAATATGAATATGGTGGAGGATATTTTAATTGGGCCATAAATAAGGCATAATGTTGACCCGTTGGCCAAACGAGGCCTAATTCTCGGTATTGGTAATTTATTGGATAACAGCCCGAAATGAATTTCGAAGACTCCTAAATTAAATTTGGGGAATGTACATCTATCCTAAAGTCCTATAACGATTAGGAGTGTGTGATATATTTTATTTGGCCCGATAAAATAAAATATATTTTTCGGACAATTAAAATAGTCTGAAAAATACAACTTTCGGGACCGATTGTACATATTAGGACACAAAGGGATGACCTCCCACATGAGTGGGGGCCACCCCACGTTTTTGTGTGATCAAATTAAGATGAGAGAGTTGGAGTTGACAAAGAATGTGTGGAGGAAGGTCATTTGGCATCTAAAGTACCAAAGAGGGCCCTTCACCCTCTCTTATTGATCAATTGAGACAAAGGTGGGTACCCTCTCTCACCCCTATCACCTAGCTCGACCCACACCAGCAGGGAGGAGGAAAATTGAGCTCTCAAACCATTCTTCCATAGCCAAATTCGAGCTTAATCATTTGAGGTCCAAAAAGAGGTGTTTAAAGAAGGAAAAACATAGGGAAAGTGCGAAAGATTAAGGTAATGACCTTATAATGACTTTTTCTCTTTTTCTTATCTATCATATGACTTATATAGCATATGGAGGACCCTAGGATTGTTATACATGTTTAGAAGTGTAGAACAATGGGTTGGAAGGTAGTTCTAAGTCTAAGAACGGACTTAGAAGCCAATTGACCGGTTCGCCGGAAAATAACCTTTTAGAGGTTATTTGTGTTGATATGGGTTTTGTGATGATAAAACCTTATTAGGAGCTTGACTAAGGTGTTCCTAACGGTCACCGGAGTATCTCCGGAGTATCTTCGGAGTATTTCCGGAGTTCAACCGAGAAGGGTAGATCAACTTCTTAAAGCTCATTCGAGGTGAGGATGACCGACTATATTGCTTATAATTAGTGAGTTAATTTTGTAAGATTACCTAAAGTATTAAAAGTGATTTTCATGAATTATTAAGGATTAATAATGCATAAATGAAAATACTATTGCATATGAGTAAATGAAGCATGACATACCAATTTGGAAGAAATTGTGTATGATTGTGTATTATGAATATGATAGCATGATAATGAAATTAATTGTGAAATATTCTGATAATATATACTTTTTACTTCGTGTAAAGAAATCATGAATGAATAAAAGTGATATTTTGATATTGAAGTTAAATCATTTTTGGATCGAAAAATCAATTGAGATGAGCAATATGACTATGAATTAAGAACTTGGTTGCTTCAAGATTTACTTGACTAGTATTGAAATACTAGTTGGAATGCTAGTATGAAAAATGATAGAATAAATCCTAAGGGCTTGGATTGTGAAAGATATACCTTAAGTAGTCTTATGAGATACTTTAAGGTAGGAATGTGTAAATGCTAAGTTAAGCTAGGAATAGGCCCTAAGGGCTACTAAATATGAAGTGATCCTAGGCATAGAAGTTGCTTAGGAATTTGATAATATGACTAGAGGGAGCATCTAGCATATCGAATGGTGACTAGAGGAAGCCTCTAGCATAACGTAATGATGACTAGAGAAAGCCTCTTGCATAACGGAGAGTAACTAGAGGGAGCCTCTAGCACGACAGGAAATGACTAGAGGAAGCCTCTAGCATAATGTAGAGTGACTAGAGAAAGTCTCTAGCACGATATGGAGTGACTAGAGTTAGCCTCTAGCACGACGGAATGATATCGGTGAGTGGAACTCTACTATAGTGAAAAGACGTGATGAGGTAAGCATGGGCCCACGGGCCGACTACTTGACCTTATATATAAGGTAAGTAGGTTCTAAATAGGGTAACCGAGGATTACAGCCTATAATATACTATCACCCTAGATTGAGGGTCTTGAAAATTGAAACATTGATTATATACAGTGTAGTTGTCATTGTACTTTTCAAATTCTTCAAAGTAGTGACCTCCCCTTCATGGGGGAGGCCACCTCACAGTTTCATGTAAAACTTGAAGGTTGCTACCACCGCCCGTTGCTTCAGGGAGATCAAAGGAAGAAGACTTGGTTCGTGCTTCTTCCGTTCCTGTTTTGAAAACAATATGAATAATGCTCATGAATATTATTTTTGAATAATTATTTGAGGGCTTGTATGCCTAAGTTTGCCAAGTGTAGCTTGAACACTTGTATTAATGTTTCCGCTGCTTTAATGAATGTTTTACTTTATGTTTGTTTATGGATGTACTATGTGTGAATGATATTCCAGACGCCTTGTATAATATGGATGTGTTGAACTGCGGTAGACTATTCGTACTGTACGGTGGATTGTTGACGTGTCCGGCTGGGTCCGGGGCGTGACAATTTAATTGGTGTCAGAGCCTTAGACCGTAAACATCATAATGAAGCTTCAAAATTCCTTTTTGAAAATGAATTTGAAAACCATGAGCATAAGCAGTGACGGAGTATATGGCCCAGGGACCCCCGGCCCTTAGGCTCCCACTACTATAACAAAGGCCCAATAAGCCCAGGGAGCACAGCAGACCCAAATCACAGCGCCCCAAGTGCCAAGCAGCCCACGACGTACACTTGGATTCCTTCAGCCCCCATGGCCGAAGGCTCATAAACTTACAGTACAGCTGCTTTTAAGCACTCGAAGTTACTGGGAGAAAACGGCGAAAACAGTTGCCCTCGGCACCTAGAGGCCCCCGGGATGAAGAGCCTTCGGATAAATCATCTACAGCCGAAGGCATCTTCCTCGACAGAATCTCCCATCCAAATGTGCCTGCATCGCCGTACCAAGTACAAACGTCACATCCAACCACCGCATTTAATGCGGCCACATGGGATTGCCAGTGCCACCTCGGTTGACGTGACCTTCGGTCATCGGATGCTTGACACGTGTCCTCGTCTCACATTTATTGCTGCTATAAATAGCACCCCATTTCCCCTTTTGTAAACCACGCTAAATACAATTCGAATACTTTCTCTCTCTTGCTTATTCGCTCTGACTTCTCTCTAGTTACTCCCTGCAGTAACCCCTCG